ATGAGGAAAGACTCAGAGATATGGCTTACTAGTTGAGAAAGCATGGAGATGTAGTTCACCAACTTAGGCAATCGACTTGCAGCTGTTGAGCTCTGGATTCGAATCATGCTCCAGCCTGGGCAACTAACTGGATAGTACCATCAGCACCTATTAACAACTTGATATCGTCGAGAGTGGGTAGACTTCAATCTTTCTCGTGAAATGCCCTCGTCAAATAAGTCTCATTCACTGCCTTCACGAGGTGGCACTATTCCTCACAAAAAGTAAAATGATGAATGCCAATGTCTGGCGCTTACAACCAGACTTGTGGATATGCATGAAAGCTGAAAACTTATAGCGTACATGGGCTCCAGAATCCGACGTATGAACCCATTTCGGGAACCGGTGACCATGGGAATGCAGCTCCTGACGCCGCTCCATTGCCCTGTGGATCAGACTTCAAGTCAGAGACTCATAGGGTGGTCCCGGAAGGCAACCGTCTGCTTTGATTTGGGCCTCCAGATAGCATCACAGCCCCCACACAGACTATGAGGTTTTGAGTGGAGCATCTCTTTGGATCATCATGTAATATTAATCAGCCCTCAAATAATAAGTATGACCTATAGTCTGATACACGAAAGAATCTAATAAAGTAAGTAAGTGCTACCAACAACAACGACAACATCTGAGAAAATGAGCTGAAACACTTCAGTTTGGGGATTAATTCCTGCAAAGCTAACAGAATCTACACAGACAGTTATTGTATATTATTTATTAGCTTACTATTATTCTTATAAGGTTAAATTCTATCTTTTAGATACTGTTTTCTTAATCTTTATATGTTCTAACGGCATACGACATATGCTCGAACTACTGAAATACATAGAATTATAAATGAAAGAGAATACAAACTGAAATATCCCATAACACTTCAATAACTTATCAGCGTACCAGATAACGTCACTCTCCAGAGACTGGTGGTTGTGTATGGCTTGATGCTAAACCAGTTAAATACAGGAATTATGAATGAGCAGGAATTTGGACACGCTTATTCTAATTTATTTGAATGGCATAACAGCTTATTACAGTCTGTGTTGATAATGAGTCGTTTAAAAAGTTATTGTCCTATGAAAGTATAAACCTGCCATAACTAGAAATTGTTATCACTGTAATAAGTGCCCTTCGCGTAGCATAATAACAACATGGCGCGCAAACCAACTGTCTAGACTAATGAATGAGTCACAGGACCATACAATATGAGCCCTTGATATTTTCTCTTTCATACGCTATTTCAGATGATTCAAGTCCAGTGGAGCATAAGGCTTCAAGCCAGAAGCTTGAATTTTCGGTAGCAATGGTGTTCACTTTTACAGGATGGGGTTGCTAGCCGCATGCCCAACCTTCCCTCTTTACGAGTCTTATAACTAGCTGGCTTAGCGAGGTAAAGGGATGCGTCGGCCGGGGATCGAAACCCGAGTCACATGAGTCGTGGTTGACGAGAGCATTCTACCGCGGTGCCACACCTCACTTTCTAAACATTGTTTTTGATAATAACATCAATACAAAAAGGAATACCATAATGAAAGTGACACAATGCCAAAAAATTATCATTGTTGTAGGTAACACTATTATCACTGACAAAAGATATTAAAATATTTTGTTCACATTCCTAATAGTCTGTTGTCTCCTACAAAATAGAAGTATTACAATAGTTCTCCCCAATTCAAACAAATTACTAATCAAAATTTAAGTCAATCAAATCTCTGGAAATTAACACTTGAAAATCAATCTATTCCTCACTAGTGACTCACTACAGAATGAAGTTACCGAAAGTCCTAGGGAGAAGTTGTGATCACCCGAGTCCACCCCAAGTTGGGCATGAAGGCAGATAATCACTGATGACACTGGCTGGCCTTCATGCCTTTATCTAGAATTGGTGGAAGTTAGAATTAATGGGCCATTGGATCCCGTCCCAGTGGTTAAGTGGTATATACGAGTTCGCCTTGTAGACCAAAGGGTTCTGGGTGAGATCCCTAAAGGGGAGGTGGCGGGTACGTGCTGTTGAAGAGTCCCAAACGAGAATGGGACTGCTGTCCAGTAAGCACACTTCCCCGGTTTTTAACATTTCTCTAACTGAAGGCACTTTGTGTTCAAAATTGAGGAATTTGATCGCTCAAAATTCCTTCACATGATAAAAAGAGAACTTTTCAGACATAAAAGCATGTACAGAAGTGTCAATTGAGTTCAGTTAGCACAAAACTGCATAACACCAAGCTAGTAGTACACTCTTCACAAAAAGCATACATGCATTGAAAGGAAGGAAATACAAAGAAACTATAATAAACAGGAATGCGGGTATTTAGTGAGTCTGAAAGATCCCACGTAGTGAATGCATCTGCACCAATGATGACTGAGAACAATTTTGAAAAACATGTCATCAACAGTCTTTAGAAGTAGAATCTTAGCGTCATGTGAACCACAGCCAGGCAGTCTACACCTAACAAACTATGTGACTCAAACAAACAGTCAAATGGTCGACAATTACATCATCATACAGAGGGAGAAATTAATAGAACAGAGAGAAAAAAAAGACAGAAAATCAATTAAAATTTAGTAACACGTAGATGTGAAATATGCAATGAGCAAAGTAGAACAAGGTCGAAGTGAACAAGATACTTCATGAAGAATAGAAAAACTACATTTTCAAGAGTTAACTTGTAGGGATGTCAATGAAATCAAATTAGATTTCATCAGCTACAAAAACCATCGAAAAGCAACTAGCACTGGATAAATGTCTCGTTTAAGTTTGGATTTCTTCAGTATTCAGGTTTTGGATGCTATCATGTTAGCCTCTGAAGGTTCTCAATTTGACCTTTAGTGGGGTCATGTGTGCATACTGAAGAAGGATTTTACACAATAAAAAAATAGTTGTCCAGAACTTCATGGTTTTCAGTGGGTTTTTTTAGGACACAAGGAGGCACATGATTCAGTGTTTCTCACATGATGCGTGAAGTAGACTAAGGATCACGTCATTGAATTTTTATCTTAAACTTGTGATTTATTGACTTTTTTATGGAGCAATAAATCTTTGCCTTCTCAATCTTTCTTGTGTTGCCTTAATGTGGATATAGTAAAGACAATTGATCAGTTTGTGTATTGTCTAGCTCAAGGATATCAGCAGAAGAAACCCACAGAAGTTTTCCAAATCTAACTTAAAAACTACATTTGTGTAAATATAACTATTAATCTATCATATGTAATATCATGAACTTTAAGCAGATGCAAAGAGCACCATTATACGCCTTAGATATTTCTTTGAAGTGATAAGATCCCTCAAGAACTGTCTGTCTGTTTTCAACATAGAACTTTGCACATATGTGCGGCAGTTCAAGTCGCCACACTCCCTCCTTGTAGCACACAAAGCAAGAGAAGAAAGTAGAAGAAATGCATAATAGAGACAGTAAACAGAGGTGTGAGACAAAGGAATAGTAATAACGAAGAACAATATAGTTTCATTGGGTATTATTAGTCACAAGGAGTGGATGCATCTACACTAGCCATTGAGGACGATTTGAGCCACATCATTGATTGTCTGCAGTTTTCATTGGTTTCTACCATCCCGACGACCCCAACCAAGAAGTCTACATCTTCCTACGTGGCTGACTTAAACTAACTGTTGTGGATTTCATTGACTGATGATGCCATGTCTTGGTTTGACCACCACTAGCTCTTTTCCAACCTGATCCTATATCAGCTAACCTTGCCCATCAAGGAAGGCGATGACTAGGCAGGCATGCGTAACACATGTCCTAACCATCTCAGTCGATGTAATTTCACAGTCTCGTCGACTGATTTCCCCGCCTTACCTAGCACTCGACCGATGCCTAACCTCAATATTGCTCACCTTATTATAACACTTCACATGGGAGATAGAACGCAGACACCTATGATCGAACACAGCTAATCTTTTCATGTCTTCCGCTCTCAATGGCCAGGTCTCACAGCTGGCCATAAACGAGGACGGAGCGGACTGTTGAGCAGTACACACGCCCTTTGGTCAATAGTCGGATATCGCGTCTACGCCAGAGACGGCGAAAACTGGCGAATGCGAACCTAGCCCTCTGTATTTGTGCTGAAATTTCGTCTGAGATCAACCCGTCGGGGCTGATGGTACTTCCCAAGTAATTGAAGCGGTCAACGTGTTCTACCACTTCACTTCCTATTTCTAATCTAGGGGTCGCTGAAGTCCAATCCTGCAGCATCATCTTACATTTTACAGGGGCGAATCGCATGCCAAACATACGAAGATTGTTGCTCAAGGTGTTCAGAAGACTCTGCATTTTGTCAGCGTCCTCGCCCAGAAGGATTATATCGTCTGCATATTCTAAGTCAACGAGATTATTCCATGGCAGCAAGTCGATCCCTCAGTCTCTGAAGTGAGTTAGGGTTAAGTCCATTAGTATGTCTATGATGAAATTGAATAAAAATGGGGATAATGGGCATCCTTGACGGACGCCACTAGCCGTCACCACTTCAGATGACAGTAACAAATTTTAGTTTATGAAAACACTTAAGTACCGTACAGCGACACTATTATGCACGATTGTCAGGTTCGAAGATTCACTAGTTCACAATGGTTCCTCAAGTCAGAATAATGATAATAATAAAAATGCTAATAATTCATTCCTTTGCTTTCGCTGTCGAGCATAGGGCTTCAAGCTCTAAGCTTCAAGGTTTCAGTAGCAGTCATTGTCTTATGGTGTTAGTGTTGTTAGCCTCACACGCCTAATCTTCCCTCTTTTCCGGGCTTATAACAAGCTAAAAAGGGAGGTAAAGATATGTACCGGCCAGGGTCTGAACCGCAGACCATGTACATGTGAATAAGAAGCATTTTTTACCAATGAACCACTCGACGACTTAGATCTCAACCAATTTTTGCTATAGTACACTTACAACGCCTTAAAAAAAAAAAAAGAAAAGTACAATCTTTACAAATAAACTACTGAAAATATAAAACTAACTTTTTTCAAAGTATCAATTTCCAGTTTAATTTCTTCTTCATCCTCTTCAGTAATCGGCATAACTTTGATTGCAGCCAGTTGACCAGTACGCGTATACCTTCCCTTGTAGACATTCCCGTAAGTTCCTTTACCGACAACTTCAATTAAAGAGAAAATCCCCGATGGATCACGTAAATCATCTAAATTGGTTATATCTAATCCACTGTTAGTATTGCTAGTGTTATTCGACATGATTTATCAATGAGTGTGTGTGTGTGTGTGGGCGTCTGTGTATCTGTGTGTAAGTAGGTATATTCCAACACTGTGGACTGATTGACAAGAATTGAAAGGCAACAATTATAATGTGATTAATGTGTGTTTTATATCCGCGGGTGCGCGCACACACTAGACCACCACCACCACTTGATGAAAACACACAAAAAAGGGCCTATTTCACTAAAATGAAAAGAAGGAAAGAAGAAAAAAACTCAATCAACAAATGTACAAAATCAAAAGTTCTATGTATATTAAAAAACGAGAAAAAGAATAATAATAATAATAATTTGCTTTATTCCAAAACAGTACTTGTGATACAGAATGGAATTCTCAGCATTTTTACTACAGTATTGCATCCAGTTAGTACATTATCAATAAATAGAATTCTATATAGATTAAGGAAATCTCAGTTCATTATTACAACAACATAATTGGAATGTCGGTAGCAAAGCCAAAGTTGAACAGTGTTTGAAGGTGTTAGAAAAGTAGGTGCTGTCATATTTACTGGCGTAAGCGAGAGAAGGAAACAAAGCAGCACATAACAGAGAGAGAGAGAGAAAAGGAAAAGAAAGAAAGAAAACGTTGTACCTATAAATGATGTGAGTTGGAAAGACGAGGTCCAGTTGTTTTACTGACTATTTAATAAGTTATAGGTGTCACGCCTGATGCTTTCTTTATCACACAGAACACGAGCTAAGTAGAGTATGGTTGAGTTTTTACACTTGCTGGTGCGAGCATATAGTTTTCTATATTGGCTTCTGGTTTTACCTGATGAGATGCAGGGGGAGAGTTGTGAGTGAAGAGGGTGGTGTGAGTTAGATAAAATGGATTTGGCCCATTTTTCACATGAGTCCATGTGCCTGTCAACCAGAGTATTAGCAAGCTGGTTAAGTGGCACGTTGCTTACCCTGCTGACAACATTTAACATCCTGCGTTAAATGTTATAGTCTTTCTTCAGTAGCCCAGGAAAAACTAAGGGGGAACAATAGAGAATAATAGGCAGGATGCGAGAATTAACGAATTGTAGGAGTAAGGGTTGGTTAATACCAGAATGTTTTAACTTCTTGATGTAGAAGGTAAGACGGAATATTTTCTTAGAAATTGCTAAGATATGAGACGACCAGGAGAGATCAGCAGATAGAATGACACCTAGGTGTTTAATTTCCGATTTAGTTTCTATTTCAGTGCCGTCTATGTTGCATACCTCGTAAGAGCCAAACAGTTTGTTTAGGTCGGATTTATGCCTAAAGGTGAAAAGAAGGAGAAAGAAGGGCATATCTACTACTTTCTGAACATGTACCAAAAAGCTTACGTCTAAAGGGAACAAATGCTTTCTTTGAACAGTGCCATCACCAGGCATCTTCTTGACACGAGCCATGAGGTGGACGTCGAGAAGTTGTTCAAAATTACCAATAAGCAAAAGAGCTCAATTCTCTTTAAGTTTGCTGAAAGCATTTCCATCAAGCGCCTGAAACCTGATTTATGCGTCCAGAAAGAAACGGTTATCAGTCTTTCTTTGCCCAGTCTGGTAACTGGATAATTTTCATCTCTCTTTCATCCGAATGCGAAATGCTGAAAAGTTTCCATTGTGTATGATTATTATTGTTCGGAATAGTGTCCCGATCAAAAGCTGCTACCTTGGCGTGGTGGTCGGGTTTGAACACCGCAATGACCCAAAAAGCTATACTGGCTGAGACTTATGTCACTTGAGGTCCTACCATGCGAGAAAGGTTGTTTGGATGGCGGTTAGACAAAAAACAGTTACCCAATTCAATGCTATGACTCAAACAAAATCACAAAATATCATGCCGGATCGGTCGGGGCCCGGATTAACAACGACCGCGCTTCCTGCTGCCGTGTCACAGGGCAGAAGTGATAAATATGCTACTGAGACACACCAAATAAAAAAGAACAAACAAAAACCAGACAGATATATATGCATATATTATTAGTGTATGCATATACTGATCGATTGATTTTTGTTTAAAATGAACTCTGTGCAAGTATGTTAAAACTGTTTTTGTAGATATATTTAATAATGTCTTTGCCGTGTAAGCAGCTGACGAGAAGGCAAGGAAATAAAATATGGTACCATTTTATTCTGCTATAACTTCAGTTCTTACTTTGTTCAAATTCATTAAGGGGAATAAATGTATGAAAGAAGAAGTACAGTTATTTAATTTCCTGTGACTAGTTCTTTTGCTTTTCTCCTACATTTCTCCGACTTATGCTGAGTCAATTGAATTCACAGCAGATTTTATCACAATAGACTGGGGCAGAATTTCTCTTGTGAAATTTAAACTTTAAGAAACTATTGCATGAGATTTTCTAACTGTGGAACATAAGTGGGCTTCAGTAGGAGATCACTATTTCATTAAAATTTCTCTCTGATATGAGGCAAAAGGAATAGTAATATCGAAGAACCATATAATTTTATTGGATATTATAAGTCACAGTGTGCGTCGGTGGCATAGCGGTTAGGACCCTCGCCGACCATGCAAATATTCCGGGGTTCGATCCCCGACCACAGACGCACTCCTTTACTTCGCCAAGCCAGAAATAATGCTGGTAAAGAGGAAAGGTTGGGCATGAGGCTAGCAACCCCATCCTGTAAAATAAGCACTGCTACAGAAACTTCAAGCCACTAGCTTTAAGCCCTATGTTCCACTGGGGAACGTGAAGGTAAAAAAATAAGTCACAAGAAGTGGATGCATCTGCGCCAGCCATTGACAATGATTTTGAGCCATATCACCAATTGTCTCCAGCCTCCATTGGTTTTTACCCTCCCGATAACCCCAACCAGCAAGCAAATCTACACCGCCCTACGCGGCTTAAAACTAACTGTTGTGGATTTCATTGACTGATGAAGCCATGCTGGTTTTGTTTTGCCCATCACTGGCTGTTTTCCAACCTGATCCTATATCAGCTGACATTGCCGTTGTCGGGGAAGACGATGGTTAGGCAGACATATGTAACACATGTCCTAACCATCTCAATCGATGTAACTTCACAGCCTCATCGATTGATTTCCCCTCCTTACTTAACACTCGACGCCTAACCTTAATATTGCTCACCCTATTATACCACTTCACACGGGAGATAGAACGTAGGCATCTATGATCAAAGAGAGCTAACCGGCCTTTTCATGTCTTCCACCCTCAATGGTCAGGTCTCACAGATATAAAGGAGGACGGAGAGGACTGCTGAGCAGTACACACGCACTTTGGTCTACAGCCAGCTGGATATCATATCTACGCCAGAGACGGCGTATACTGGCATATGCGAAACTAGCCCTCTGTATTCGTGCTGAGATTTCGTCAGAGGTCAACTTTTGTTTAGATAACAGAACGAAGAAAATCCCTCAAATAACTGATAACCGATTCGCTTAGTAACCCCATAAAGGGTTTCATACATAATTGGCTACAATGTACAACCAGTCACATGTATGCGTGTGCTAAGTATCATATTGAGCAGGGTTTGGACCGGTTTATTCCTGAAACCTGGAAAATTACGTCATATAACAATGAATTCAGGGGGTTTAACATGAGTACAGTGCTTAAAATGTAGCTGAGTTGAGGAAAATATGCATAGCATTTGGATAATGAAGTGCTTTTTTGATTGGACGCTAGTCAGTAACTATTGTAATGTGTTTAGTCCTATCAGTCAAGTTTGCTATGTGGCCAGCATACTAGGTGGCTCGCCATCACGGTGCACTGTGAACTGTCGGTACTAGGTGGTTGGAGGTAATCGGTAGGAAGCCTTGCTTGACCTACTTCTTGTGCTAGTTGGCACTCGCCAGTCAGCAAGGTGTATCTGCATAGTGGCTAAGTATCTAATACAGACCTACAAAAAGTGAATCGCGAGTCTGAATAGCTCAGTGGTAACGTCTCTGGGACTTCAGCACTGGGTGACATGGGTTCAAAGTTGCAGATACGCCTTGCTGACTAGCGAGTCCGAACAAGCATGAAACGCAGGTCAAGCAAGGTTTCCTGTGGCCGATTGCCTCCAACCATCTAATAATAACAAACTTTGTCTTTTGTTCACTCTCACCACATATCGTTCAGAAAGAGTAGACATTGTAGTCTGTGACTAACACCTTCAGTATTCTGGTGGTGGTTTCCGGAAATTTAGTGAACTCATCTGAAGACTTATACTTTAAGATGAAGTGCTTTCTTAGATTTTTTCAAGTAAAAATTGAATTAAAACCAGCAAATTTGAAACTTTAAAACAATAAATGACAGGAAATATTTAACAGAAGTTTACAGATATTTATAATAATAATACCAAGGGATTAGCAAGGTGAGATGTAGAAACAACGAGTTAATAAGTAGACTTCTTGCTTTATTTATAAAATACCTAAGTGCGATGTATTCAAATATTATTTTAAGTATGGCGTCTTCTTTAATTTCCGCCTACATAATTTATTCAAATAATAGAAAACGGATAAAGTTAAACTCTAGCAGCTACCATCGCATACGTTCTAAATGACGCTGTACAAACAATCATTAGCGATGCGACACAAGGACTGATAAATTTTCAAAAGAATGGCTACTGAACAAAGAGTACACTTTTCGTTAACTTCATCGTCAGGCTCTACAGTTACATATACACTGTGGTGAATGAATGAATTAGTGTTATGAACAACATTAATGTTGTTGTTTAAATAACATCGAATCAATAATATTGATAGATTACAGTTCAGTAGCATCAACATAAAATAAGCTGAATGTCAGAAAAATTAGGAAAGATAATATTACGAATTCATGCCTCCAAAGCCTCAGGATGGTCGGGGGTGGGTGCCTTGCTCTGCGGGTTGGCCACCCCTCCGCACACCTCTTGAAATGCTCCCATGTGACCGGGCGTCTTGCATAGCCTCTCCTGAGGAGGTCCTACTCACTGCCTTCACGTGGCGGAGGTGTTTTTCACCAAAGTGAGAGGGCGAAAGCGGATGCCCGGCGCTCTTCACCGGGTTGACT